CAAAAAAAAAGAAAAAAAAAAAAGCCAAAAAAGCAAACAAAAAAGACCCAGCAGAAGACAAAAAAATAAAACAAAATCCCATCCGGCCGCGGGAGGGGCCGCGCCAGCCCGGAGCCGGGCCCTGCGGGACGGAGCTGCGCCCGGAGCTGCGGGACCGCCGGAGCCGCACATGCGTTCCTTTGTCCTGGCGCCCCGCTAGCGCTGCCCGCGCGCTGCCGCTCGGCTCCGGGATCGGCTCAGCGGGGCTCCGCCGCCCCGAAGATGCCCGCCGGGCGGCCCGGCGCTGCCCGCCGGTCCTGAAGGATTAGTTGTGGTTTCGGCGCGGGACTCGGCAGAGCCGCTCTGGATCGGAATTGCCCGGCGCACACGCGCGCCCCTCCCGCACCGCCATGAGTCCGGGGCCGGCGGCTCCGCTTCGCCCCGCGCCCGCAGGTAACGCCGCGCCGGGGTGGGGAAACGTTGCGTCCTCGCGGTCCTCCGACAGGGAACCGCTCCTTGGGGGTCTCTTTCTTTCATTTATTTATTTATTTTCCCTTTCTGCTTAATTATTTATTTAGTCGCGTCGGCAGTTCAGAGCTTGCCGATTTCTTTCGCGCAGCTCTCGTACCGAGGGCTGCCCGCACCGGGGAGCTCGGGCGGGCAGCGCGGGGCCGCGTGTTGGGCGGGGGGCGAACGCGACGCTCGGCTCCCAGCGCACGGAACGTCCCGCTTCGGCCCCGCCGCCTGCCGCGCTCGGCACGGAGATACCGGCGGGCTGCACGGCCGCCTGGAGACGCGGAGGAGATTTTAGGTCGGCTTTGCGAGGGCGTCGTGTGCTCCTTCTGCGTTAGTGCCGAGTTTTGGTTTCTTTTTCCTTTTTGTTTCAATTCGCGTGGCTTTTCTTTTTTCTTTTTTTGTCCCCTTGGTGTTGTTGTGTGGTGCGAGTGATGCCTGGGCGCAGAAATGGTTGCATCGGGAGGGATGCCGCGCTCGTCCGCTGGCAGAGATCGCCTCTACTGCTGTAGCAGTTGTGCGTAACCCTGATCTCTCTTTCATATTTAAAATAAAACCTAAAAGTAGCGAGAAAAGACGAAGTTCCAGCTCAGGGTTGGAGCTGCTGAGGCGGCTCGTGGTTGTTCGTACGGTGAGCCCGGCGGTGCGTTTGCTCCAAGTTGCTGCTCCGCTCGATAACGTGTGGTCAGCAAGGCAAAATGGGGTTCGCTCCCGGACGAGCTTTGTCTGCGGCAGATGATGCCCTTTCTGTGTGCGCGATGGGCCGAGCATCGCCTCCCGATCTGCTCACAAGTGATGCTCACTCGGAGCGCTTTGTGCACCGCGGTTCGTCCGAGAAGTGCCGCTTCCACGTTGCACAGCGATGTTCTCAGCGCGGTACGCGATAGGAATGGCAGGATTTCTGCGGGAGAATCGGAGCTGAAAAGCAGGCGCTGGGTTTATTGTTGGAGATGGAAGAAAGTTCTTTAAAAATACAGAAATGGTGTCTTTTTCCCTCTTTCTGATGTTCGGAAAAATGAAGTAAATGGGAAACTTAGGGCTTCTTTATGCTGGCTAATTTAGAAAGAGGAAAATAAAGTAACACTTGAAACTGTAAGAGGGTTTGGTTGTGTCCTTTTTTTTTTTTTTTTTTTTCAGTTTGTTCTTCTTTTCCTTCTTTCTTCCACGATAGACTTTGTGGAAACAAAGAGTGGTTTGGAGAGTTTCTGACTTCAGAGAGAAGCTGCATTTAAAAAGGCAACAGCAGATGAAATTCACTGGGAAGGGTCGTTACTCCCCATCAGAGAGCAGGCTGATGGGCACGGTCCTGAAAGCTCTGAGCATGGCTTGGTCTGCTGGACGAACGCTGGACTGCCCTTTGAAGCACACGGCTTTCTCAGGCTCTTCAATTTGTGCGTTATTCACATATTTTTCATTAATTTAAGGAAACTCGTCGCTGGATAATAAATCCATCAGTGGGTAATAAATCCAGTGTTTACAAGGTATTGAATTGGGAAGAAACGCGCCAGCCCAGCTTTGAAATAAGCCAGCAGTCATCTGAAATCTGTCTGGAAGTCTGAAAAAAGAGTACAGCAATTTATTTTTTATTTTTTATTTTTTTTGCAGTTAATTATGGAAATCTTTGACATTGTTAACTTGAGGGCAGGCAGATCATTGCAGTGCCCTGTTACACTCTGAGCTCTATCTGTTCATTTATCGCTCGGTGGTTCCACACCCAAGTTGTTGGGCACTGGAGATGCCTCTTGTGTTGCCTGTCTGGATGGTTCTTCTCCGGTTCTCAATTCAAAAATCTGTTCCCTTCAACCAGAAATTAAAGCTTGCTTTTCAAACAATGGTTTTTCATTATTTGAGCCAACAGTTTCCATCAGAAGACTGCAATCTTCCTCGAGTGTTACGCTTTCCCCTGTTGGCACGCTTTTGTTGCTGGGTTCCCTCATGTCCGTGTGCTTTCAGAAAGCAGACTGTGTGACAGCGGGGCTGTGTCCGAGATTGAGTTTAGAATTGAGCAGCTCTGTGTTCAGTGAATGTGGGCTGAAGTGTAGGTGTAAGGGTGGACATGTGTTTGCATCTGTGTGTGTGCGCCTTATGTCTCAACACAGATGCACAGACGTAATGATTTTGGCTTCTGCACTTGGGGTGTCTGAAATAAACATTTGCAGCAGTCCCTTTCCTGTTAAGTTTTTGTAAAGGGGAGCTCAGCATTTTGGTGTGAAACTTAAAGATGCATCATTTCAACAATGGGGCGGAGGACGAGGCTGCATGCTTGCAGAACAGCCGTGGTGGACGAGGTGCTCATGCAGCGCTGGGAGGAAAAGCCTTCCCCAGATAAAGATGGCAAATGAGAGATTGAAAGGACCATTGGTTTGAGCATGGCGTGGTGTCAGGAATCAATTATTTGAGGGAGAGAAGCCCTGTGTAGATGCACGCTGCGCTCAGTCTGAGGGCGGCTTTCTTTTTCAGACTTGACCTAAGAGCAGCGGGTGAGATTACCGAGCTGAGGTATCAGCACTGCTGTAGAAGAACCAACAATGGAATGGTTGGTGTGGTTGGAGTCTCCAAAAATACTTAATAAATTTAATTTAGAAACCAGCAATTCTGCCAGTCTCCAAAGCTGGGCTGTATTTCACAAAAATTCTTACAAAATCAATATCAGAACGTAGTGGATAATTACGGTACAAAAATGCTATTTGTGTGCAGCTGATGCATGGGAGTAAAAAAAATACATATATCATATATTTTTTCGTATTAAATTGAATCTTTCCAAAGGAAATCTCTGCACTGCAGGGCGGCGAAGCACAGCCAAATAGCACCACCTCATGGACGTTCCCTTCGGAGCCCATCAGCTCCTGGCTTTTGTCACCTGATTTGTTTCTCTGAAATATGTACACATCTCCGCGCGTGCATCGCTGTAGCGCCGTGCCTTTGAAATGCATCACTTGAAGGAAACGTAACTTCTTTTTTTTTTTTTTTTATTGGTCTTTCAGGCATCTGATGCCAGCTCTGAAAAACTGTTCAACGCTGTTACAAATAAAGGTAAGACTGCAATTCGCATCACCAATGTATTTCCCCCCCCCTGATGTGTTTCTTCTCGTGGCAATTTCAATGGGGATGAAATGTGACTTGTCTGGCAGAGATGTTGCAATCAGCTTGTTAGTGCTTTTTATGTTTCTCTCGGTTTCAGACGTGTTCTGTATGCTTGATAATTGCTTTGCTTAAGCAATATAAAATAAAGGCTTTAAATAATGCAGTGCCTGCCAGGTCAGAATTAATTTAAATAACAATATTAGGGAATAGTTTATTTTACAAATGGCTTTAATTTAAGCTCATTTAAATAACTGTAAGAGTTTTCAAAATGTTTTAACTTGATTGTTACTCATCAGCTCCATGATAGACATGGAATTATGAATAGCCAATTTGCACTGCTGACAGTAATAACCAGCCAGCGTTTAGTATTCACAGGATAATAGTCATAAACCATGGCTTGCTGTGCTGTGTGCTTTCTGTAGAGTTAATAAATGATATAGAGGGCCACATTTAAATATTCAGTATCCCATTAATTTCCTCCAAACAGCAATCTAAAGAGAGAGTGGCTAATGATATAACAGTACATTAAGGGAAAACTCGCCCTAAATCAGTGCCAGTGAGCTTCTGTGCAGAGCTTGTCCTGAAGCAGCGTTATTAGAAAGGCTGTGGGGATGTATTTATTTATTTATCCCTTTATTTATTGCAGTGTTTTGGTTTTTTGTTTTTTTTTTTTTTGCAAGGAGGGCTGAGGGAGCAGCTTCCAGACATGAGTTGTGCCTATGTGTGTAATTCAGAGCCTTCAAAATGCGTCGGCTCTTCCTGTTTTTCACCCACTGTCCTACTTCTCAATGGCAGTGTGTAATCATTACCCGTTAAATGGGGCTGCAGACCCGCAGTGCTTGAACTTGGTGTGCTTTTTGGAACTTGGTGTGCTTTTTGGAACGTTTCAGTTGATCTTGGTTAGAAAACGCAGATTTGATGAATTTGGCACTCGGGTCTGTTTGCTTGGCTGGGTGTGGGTTGGCTTTGTATTGGCTTTGTCACTCCAGTGGGCCGTCCCGGTGTTATTCTGTGTGTTTTAATCCCACAACACCGTTTAATTGGGGATAAGCCTGTGATGCTGGTAGGTGTCAGCTTCCTATGCTGATACACTGTCGCTTTGGAGGTCTGCTGCTTGTTGAATCCTACTTAATGGCATTGCGGATCCACATTCCTTGTTTTTTGTGTTCTCCCATCCTTTGGGAGCCCTGTGTTGGATGGATGACCTCGGTGGCCTAACTGGACCATCTCACTTGGCGAGCTGATAGATCCATTTGCTTTAATTGAATGTATGGCTTGCCCTCAGCCCCTCCACAGCCAAACAGATAAATAAGGTTGCACGTTTGGGTGACCCACGCTGCTTGTGACCACATGGGAGTTTGGGGCCAGGCGAGGAGGGGCCTTTTGCTCTTCCTGCCCTCCCCAGTTGGGACCCAGCACGTTTCCCACAGCCCGGGTAGTGTTTACTTACCCAGGTTGATTCGTGGCATCTATTTGGTCGTGAGTACCCATGCTTGACAGGGAGCCTTTTCTTCCGAGGTACTTTTCTTTGGTGATTTAGTTCCCTTGAAAGGATTAGGATTTCTTTGTGTAGCCTAAAATCAACATAGGCTTTTCTAAGCTTTGCTTGAGAAACCGTACACAAATAAGCTTTTTAGTTGATGGTAGATTATTCCTTTGCCCCTTATTTCCATCAAAATGGCGGCTTTCTTTTCTCCTCCTGAGTTTCCCCTTAAAGCCATATGCTAATTCCTGTTGGTAACATGAATGACAAGGGGAGAATCAATGCAAATCCAGGTGCGGCCAAACCAGGCTGACTGGTATTCTCTTTTTATTTTCTTTTTCCTTTTTTTTTTTCTTTTCCACTGGGAGAAAGAGATTAAGGGGAAAGAGGGCGGAAAAAGCATCGTGAACAGTTTTGTTAAAGGGATTAGCATTCAGACTGCTAAATATCAGGAAAAGAGCCCCCCAAAAGACCCCTGGTTGGGGATAATGTCACTAATTGCTTGCAGCCAGGTGCAGGGGCTCTCGGTTTGTTGTGGGGCTGCTGCCTTTCCCCAGATCTGCCCTGGGGACGGCTGAGGGCTGCCCGGGCGCCGTCAGTTTGATATATTCCAAGTTCAAGTTCTCTCCCTGCAATTCAGCCTGTTTGCTTCGAAGCCAGTTCTTCCCCTCTGCTGTCTGTGGCTGTTTTTGCCAGAAGCAATAAAAGTCGCTCGTCAGAAAGGGTCAGGTTTGCATTGGGTAAATCATGATGAAACCTTCAAAGCTCCTGGCTGGGAGGGCCCAGGCTGACAAGTGTGCCATCCCTCCTGTCCAGAGCCTGGCATCACAGAATCGCAGATCCCTCATCTCGTCCCTCAGCTCCCTGTGTTTCACACGTCTTTTATCCTGCCACTTCTATTTTTTTGCAGAATTCTTTACAGCAGAGTTTACAGAATCGATGTATTCACAAAGTGAGTAAAAATCCTGAAGCGTTTTAGGTTTCTGTCATTCACTTGTAGAGTCGGGGCTAGCGGCGAGGTGGAGCTCAAGGTGTGTGGGATTGTTATGGGTGTGTAATGGGAACTAATCCCTTCCAGAAACAGAAACAGTAATAATTAAAAAATCCGGGACAAAGTTAATATTCCCTCCCTAAACCTTCTTTGATGAAGGGTAGGAAACCCATCAAAGAGAAGTCTCCTGACATCCGCTTAGGAGCTAGCTGCCCTGAGAGCTCAGTGGGAAAACTTCTGAGTTTTGGGATGCTCCGTGGGCATTGAGGCCCCTCAGGGCTGGGATTTGTGTGGCAGCAGAGCGGTGCTGTGTTTGGGAGGGCTTTAGGGTTCCCACCAGCTGCCAGTGCTCCCTGAGGTTCCCAGCCCTGCACTGGGTCTGAAGCAGAGCTGAGGACTAGAGAGAGATATGGCTTTGTCCCCAGGGCAGCAACTGCTGTGGCTGCTGCTGAAATGAGCAGTCCCTGGTTGTGAGCCTGAGCAGGAGCTTGTTATGTTGCAGAGCTTGAAATTATCTAGGAAAATGATTCCCACTGAAATCTGGTGCCTGTGCTGGGAGGTAAGCACCCTATAATCTCTCCATGGAGGAGGAATGGAAGAGGAGCACATCACTTGTCTGCAGCAGCCCTCCATCCCCCGCACTGTGCGGTCTGTGCCTTCCAGTTTCAGAATTGCTGCTTGGAATCTTTGGAAGAACGTAACTTCTCCTCACTGTCTGACAGTGTCAACCTTAACACTGTGAATCCTGGCCAAAATACGGGCTTTTGTTCGTGAATTTTCGTAGCGTGACTATCCAGCATAATTAAATTCCATTATCTTTTAATAATTTAAACAGGCACATCTGAAGATGTAGAGCAGGCAGCTCCTACTACTGCTGCGTATTTAATTTATGTTAAGTCCCTCCTACGTACCCTTGGAAAACAGCTTTTCCTGGAGGGAGAAATGAGTCCCAAAGTGATGAAGTTTCATTTGTGCTGTATATTGAAGTTTGCCTTTGATCAGGAACACAATTGGGCTGTTACAGCTTTTTATGTTCAAATTGTTTACAGGATGTTCATGTAAACTTTATGAATCCTTCTGCTTCGCGGCACCACCAGCTGTCAGGGAAATATTTATATTCTCAGCTGGAGGTAGATCAAGGCGTCTGGGTTACTAGTCCTCACTGGTGGCTGCAATACCAGCCGGATCAAGGCCTGGCTTTTAGGTGGTTCTACAGCAATATCCTCCCCTGGAAAAACAGACGGATTGTTTTTTTTTTTCCCCTCGTCTTTTTTTGGTGAATCATTTCTTGAGGATCTTTTACAACATCTGTTTCTGTAAACAAGCAGGGAGCTGAGGCTGGCATGTGCTTCTCCTTGTTGGTTCAGTCCGCAGGAGATTCTCTGCTGTGGAGGAGTGCTCGCCCTCAGCCAGCCGGTCCCACAGCAGCCTGTTGAGAATCCAGCTGGGTCTGCTGCTGCACAGGCAGCACAGCGCTGCAGTAACGTGACGGCTGTGCTGCTGCTTCCTTCCTCCTTTCCAGGAGCACGCAGGAACCTCCCCAGCATCCCGACTCACTTGGTTGTGCATCCTGACTTCTTGGGGGCTGCTGCGTCTTCTCACTGAACCGCTTAATCCCAGACTGTGTTTAGGGCTCTGGACCGGAGCCAGTGCTGTGGAAGCCCACGCGTTGGTCGGCAGACCTCAGGGACTGTTGAGTCTTTGGCACAGTCCCATAGGCTTCTCTTTTTGTGGCTGCTGCGATGGCTGCCCTCCCAAAATGATGCCCTGATGTGGTGTGTCCTTGCATTCCAGCGGAGGCTGTGCTGGTGGCTTTGGATCGCTTAGTTACCCTGTTTTTGGGTTTCAGATGGCTTCTCAGTATTTTCCATGCGAAAGCTCAGTGTCTCATTAGCAAGCTCTGTGCAAAGGCTCCTGTTTGGAAGACCTGAGGTTTCTTGTACCAGTGAGTTAGATTAGAAGAAATGTTGCATCGCTTCACTGCAAGTCAGGCAGACGAAAGTCGATGCCTGTCTTGAGACAGTCCTTTGTTCTAGTGCACAAAAGAGCAAGGCAGTTATTTCTGTTCCACGAAGGCTTTATCTGAGCGAGGAATTTGTTGCATAACTCCGCTTACAGCTGCATCTCCTGTGCACAAACCACTCCTGCCCATCAGTGCACTTTCTGTGCCCTCTCCTTTATCTGCTGAGGGTTTTGGCTGCGACATGGCAGTGAGGTGGGGTTGCCCGTGCTGTGGGATGTAACAGCAGTTCTGCAAGAAAAGATCTCTGTAATGTGATGAACACGGCGTGCCCACAAGGACTGTGAAAGAGGGAGAGAACCTCTTCCACAACCTTTCTGATTCTTAAAGCCTAGAGCTTGCGATGTTACAGCACAGGAATCTTCCAAGGCTTCTAAATTAATCATTGAGAACTAGACTGAACCATAAAATTACCAGGCTGTGGGCTTGGGTGTCTCTTAACCAAAATAACTGAA